GGGAGGGGGGCTTTGTTTTTTTTTTTTTTTTTTTTAATATTTTCATCGGCCCGGTTTCCGACCCACCCTTTCTTCATTGCTGAGCCCGTTGAGCAGCTTTGCCTGGGACATGGGCCGTGGTTTTGTTTGTCTTGACGTTGGACAAAGAGGCGCCACTTGTCCCAGCATCGGCTTTGCCGGCAGAGCGGGAGAAACTCGTCGGAGTGAGTCTATGACTACTGAGACAATTATTTTACTTGCTGCGTCCTGATGCTTCGGAACCGATCCAGGCCTCATTCCGTCTGCTGGGGCCGTTCCATAACCATCGAGCCCCCGCGAACACTCCAGCTTCGTGCCATATCCAGCAGCCGCTTCCCCATCTATCCAGAGGCGGGGTGCCGACAAAGAATGTGGGCGTATATGAGGTCAACCTGTGGGCCCTTGCTTGACGTATCTGACTTTTCGTGGCGTGGCATCATGTATCTGCCAGCATCAGAATAGAGTGTCTGTCACCCTTACAGTACCCAGAAGTTTGTCCGGCCTCCAAGTTTTATATCCTCGGGCCCCTTGCTTGTACCTTTTTTATCCATTTTTTTTTCTCCCTCTCTGCTGCAAGGGAAAAAGAAAAAAAAAAACTCACATCATTTTCACTCCCGCTACCTAAGCGGGCTCATGTGGGTTTTGATTTAGCCCAACGTACCTCTCACAAGGATGGTGCCCTAGTATCAGAAGCTCCCGATAATCTTCTGGGAGGTTTCACGTAGAATTCAGGCCAATATTGGTCACAGGAAGTTGGCCGAGACTATCGACGGGCTACATCGGAAGCACGAGGCTCTTGCAGACGCACTGCATGTGACTCAAAACGTTGCTGGCGTCGGCATGGCCAACTCCATAGGACTTGGTGGAAGTAGAACAGACAGGTCAACTTCAACCCACTCCGTAAAGTGTGAATGTGATCGAACCATTCATGGGGCTTCCCACTTTCTCTTAGGGCGGAATATCTCTTGCCAGGTGTGGAACTGGGGGTGTGTGACTGTGCAACAATGGAGCCTTGTATGGCAGGCGACCCTGAGCCAGAATCTACCGGATACATCGCACAAAGTCAGCTAACTTTTAGATTTTATACCAGACATTTATGGACCGGAGGGGTGTAGGCGGATGACAGCCAGTATCGTAGCCCCGGGGGGGTGGTATTTGAAATGCCTTTGTCAAGATGCCAGATCTGCATGGGCTTCTATATTTATACATGAGTAGAGAAGCACCCTGTTTACAACTACTGGTGCAGACCAACGTAGCTAGCCGGCAAAGCTACACAGTTCGCTTTCTATTGTCGTCCTTGTCATCCCATTACTATTTCATGTGTGCTTGTACGCCAAGCACGCAGCCACGTTGTCCGCAATTCAACCAAGGGCCATCTACTTTCATAGTCAGGATATGTATACGACAAAGACGCAGCATGGCTATAGCCGCGTGCCGTCAAGCTGCGGCCAGCAGCAAAATAGCCGTCAGGGAAACCCTCAACCACAGCATTTCCCGCGGATCTCACAGCCGGTTGAACTGATACAAGACTCTTACGACTGTGTCGTCATCGGGTCCGGGTACGGGGGTGGAATCGCGGCTTCACGGATGGCCCGCACGGGACAATCCGTCTGCGTTCTGGAAAGAGGGGAGGAGAGGTGGCCCGGTGAGTATCCGGTGTGTCTCAAACAAGTATTTGACGAATTCCACACCACTGGGGATTCGATAGTCCGGCCCTTTGGTCGTGGAAAGCCAACTGGCATGTATCATGTAGTGGCGGGCCAAGGCCAGAGTGCCTTGGTGTGTAACGGTATGATAGCAGCCTTCTGCAACATTGAATAGAGCTTTCTAACAGCAGCGCCATTCTAGGTCTAGGGGGTACCAGTCTGATTAATGCAAATGTGTTTCTCGAGGCGGACGAGCGCACGCTGTCCATGGACACTTGGCCACGGGAAATCCGAGAGAACCCAGGCTGCTTGAAAGAATGTTGGTCTAGTCAATATGTTGTGATTGATGAACAATACGGCGGTGCTAATCCAATGACTTTAGACTATCAGAAAGTCAGAGACGTGCTTGAGCCGACGCCCTACCCCGACGACTGGCCGAAGCTAAAGAAGATGGAACTCTTCAAGCGCCAAGCTCAACTGATGGGCTTGGGCAGCAGATACTACAAAGTTCCACAAACCACACGTTTCCGGCCGGGAATAAATAGTTGCGGGGTGGACATGCTGCCGTCGACCCTGACTGGACAAGATACAACAGGGGTCAACGATAATTCCAAGACGACAACACTGGTGACGTATCTTGCAGACGCGTGGAACTGGGGAGCCCAAATGTTTTGCCAATGCCAAGTCAGATATATCGAAAAAGTCACCGACGACCGTGGCGGCTACATTGTTTACTTTGCCTGGCACGGCCACAAGCGCGGCAGGTTCAAGGATCGACTCCACGAAGACTTGCTGTGGGTGCATGCGAGAAAAGCCGTATTCTTGGGAGCCGGAAGTCTGGGAACCACCGAGATTCTCCTCAGGAGCAGAGAAATGGGCCTGTCCATGAGTGACTGTCTTGGACAAGGCATGAGCGGGAACGGGGATATGCTAACATTTGGGTACTTGGCCCCCCCCCCCCCC